ACACTGCTGTGTATGAGGCTGGAAAATATATAATGCGTTTATGCTATCTCGTTCTCTTCTCTTGCACCTATGCATGTCTGAACGTCCAAGCTTTTTTCGCGGCAAATATATCCAAGCGTACCTAGAAATTTTTACTTTGACTGCTTATCACTCGAAACTGGAGGCGTGTAGGCCATCCATGGTGTGCGTCCAGTAAGGCCAACAGTAATCGTCGGCGCCGCTGTGACACGATTCCTGTGTATGGCAGGATTCTTGTGGATAAAAAGAAAATGACTTTGACTGCATGTGTAACGCTTTCAAGCGCTTTGAGACGTCTTAAATCTGTTTAAATTCTGCAGGAGATGTAATATTCTTGAATACAAAAGAAGGCCCCAGGTGTGAAGCGTTAGCCTTTGCTGCCCTCTTTGCCTTTAAGTAGTGTAAAGGCCGAAGCGTGCTGAAAGAGTTTCGAGAAAAGAAGCCATTTTGAGAAAATAGAACGCGATTGCGTGAATAAAATGTAATTTCATTGCTTTTATAGAGAAAGAATGTCCCATATGAAACGTTTAGTCCACCTCTCGCGCTGGGTCAGAGTGGTCTGGCAGTTGGTAGTTCTAATCGAATCTACAAACAGGGCTCGTACGGGATATGTTATGGTGGATGCAGCCGTATACAATGTCTCGTTTTTCTGCTTGAAGAGTCCAATGAATGGCTAAAGAAACACTAAAGAGTTCGGGCGAAGTTTCGGCAGCGACATACTTTATAAATCACTACCCTTTCAAACGCTTGGTGCGATACGATTTATTGAACCATTTATGAAGGAGAAACTGGACTAAAATCAGTATAGACCTATCTATAGTGGTATGTCGTGCTTGGCACAACCCCGTGCATGCGCTTACGTCTACTGCCGTTTCCATTTTTAAGCAGCAATAACTTGTGTCACTTGTGTTGCTGAAATGGATGATGGTACTTCCTGTGACATATATATGTGCAGATCCGTCTTGGTGCTCCTACGCCGCGGTGTTCAAGTGGCTAAGGTGTACGCGGCTACTGACCCGCAGATTGCGGGATCGAATCCCGGCTGCGGCGGCTGCATTTTCGATAGAGGCGGAAATGTTGTAGGCCCGTGTGCTCAGATTTGGGTGGACGTTAAAGAACCCCAGGTGGTCGAAATTTGCGGAGCCCTCCACTATGGCGTCTCTCAAATTCATATGGTGGTTTTGGAACGATAAACCCCACATATCTATCTATCTTGGTGATCTCATTTCAGAGAAACATTTCATTAACGCTATTTTTTTCGATACTTTTTGCTATCACACTTTATTCTAAAGTTTATTCATTCATTTGTTTATTTGATTTGCATACACAGATACACGAGGCCGCAGACGAAAGAGGGAGAGAGCAAGCTTGCAGCTGCCACCTGGAGGGGCACAACGCCTGCTCACTCTTTCGGGAGGAGGGAAGAAACAGAAGAAACAAAGATTAGAGGTGAAAAGAGGAAAGAAGATGAGGAAGGAAAAAAGAAGAATGACGAAGACTTTGACGAGTACGAGTAAAAAATATAAATAAAATTATAAAAAACCGTCCATAAACGGGTGGCCATTATAAGACGTACTAAATCAGACATTTTGTTTCTTATGACGGTGGTCATAACGCTTTATAGCGCCTCTTCCCAAAGCTTGTTTATTGATTGATCGTGTGCCAATTTTCAAGACCGCAACACCAGGTAAGGGCTATCACTTCGCGTTTCTTCTTTTTCTGTCACTTTGTTTCAGTGTAGGCAGCGTCCTATGGTTCGACCTAAAAAAAAAAGAACTGAAATAAAATTCACTTTTATCACATCTTTTATTATGACTATTTCCTAATTTTGTACGCTAGTAAATACTCATTGTATCGATTCACACATTTCTATGAGCAGAGTTTTCTGTGTGCGTTTCGTCTATGTTGTATTTTCTGCAATGTGTGCTTTGTTTCACAGGTATCACTTTTCGCAAAAACCTCCGATTCTGACTCTATAAGAGCTGCATGATCGTGGCGATGCAACAGATTACAGAGGAAGAAGCAGCGGGGAGGAAGAGGTTCTAGCATATAAAAGCGTCAACGTTGAGCGAATGTGACCGCCGAAAGAGTGACCTCATATCAGTGGCTGCTACTATATACTCGTTTAGGCCACAAACCACACCGATCCGCCGGTAAAGGCGGTTATTCTGAAGGAGAAAGCGCTGTTTTCTGTCCCTGTCTCTTCTTTCCTAGTTATGCCGTAATTACTCGTAGTCTTGTGGTGTGGAAATATGTCTATTCTCCTTACTCATCGCGAGGTAATACATCCCTTATCTCCTTTTCTTTTTCAAGCATTATACAATGTGTTTCTTGTTGTGATAAGCAGATGTTATGTATAATATTCGGTTCTTTATTATGCTACATATTCGATTTTTGTATGTTAGCAATAACCGCAATCAGTTGGAAAATATTGCTATTCGAACTCCTTTTCTGTCAAGCTTACCGTTTCACCCAAGTGGTATGGCCTCCTCGTTGACTTCACAGGGTCCATCTGATCATAATCCTGCAACCTCTGCATCAGTGCTGTGCTTCGGCTACGCAAGCAGGTCCATATGGACAACAGTGCTGATAGCATTGCTGTCCATCCTGGGACCAGCGTACTGCTCACACATGTTACCTAGAAACTCAGGCCTGATGCATGAGTAACCACACATGACCACACATGATCTCCTCTGCCGCATTTGAGAGGCATTGTCTGTAACACACGAACCCGAAAACACGCACTATTGGCGCGCATGTTCAATAGTAATGGCTGTATAAAACATTTTTTTACGAACTAACAAAGCCGGTATATTCAAGGCCCTATGTGTAGTCGCTTATGCAGCTCAGCACTGTCACAGGTGGAGTTGTCCACCACATCTTACTTGAACGTCGCTCTTCATTACCACCGTTGTGATTACTGCAGTGCCAATTATAGCTACGAAAATGGTCTTTACCCTAGCTATTCTGCATCGCGCGTAAACGAGCAGAAGTTGTGAATAGGCTGAAAAATACAATAGCCTGTACTTTCAATAATAGTGCTATTTGCAAGATCAAGAACTGCTACACCAGCAAATCATAAAGACTCCAAGAAAGGCGGGAGTCTTCATGACTCGCTAAGTGTTCCATCTACACTTTCGGTTGGGGTTTTATTCATACTTTTGGATACATCTTTATCCATTGAGTTTGTTGGGTAAAGGTGAATGTTTTTTTTTTTTTCATATATGCTGGTATACAACATTACGAAGACAGGTCGTACGCGTCAGAGTGCAGTGAACATGGAATATGGTGTTCGCTTGGTGACGTCAAGCTGTCAAGCGCTTAAGACAGCTAAATAAGAGCTTTCGAAAATCCCACAATATCCACGGACTGAATGATGATGAGTGGGGCGTAGCGTTCGTCCGTCCGTCCGTGCAACCGTCTGTTCGTCCAACCGTGGGTCGATCTGTCAGTCCGTGCGCCTGTCTGTCTGTATGTCTGTCCGTCTAGTGAACACTCCCAAGTACTATCATCTCGCATCTTTTCATCATATATTAATTATATGCAAGTACCGCCATATAGCGGGCATTCCAAGAACTAAAGGAGAACCGGCTGCCTACTACATACATTGAGGACGCACGACTGAAGGATCTTCGCCCCTAAAAGTGTATCCCCTGTTGCACATGCCCGCTCTCTCGGGTATGTGCCGGCGGTTGTTACAAACGATAACGGGAGACGAACGGTTGACGCCACAAGGAGCTTCGCCCCTAAAATAGTTTTGCCAACTAGCTTAACTTGTGCTTTGCTTTTTACGAAAGCCACTCCTCTGGCTCATCAGTTTACCCAGTAAAATCAAGTGCAGTGCAGGTGAAACTGTGTGCGAAGTGTTCTAAACACTGTTCTGCATTAAGAGACTCGCAGTGAGTACAGTTGCACGTATCACTTACCAACGCTGGGTAACTCTACAGTTCCACTTGTCACGTTGCTATAACGTTACGACAAGGCACGTTCTACGTTGGTGTCACTTGGAAACATTGTTTTGGAGCGCGGAGGCACATAAAACATGCACAGGGCAGTTTTTAAAGTGTATTAGTACCCAGTGCTTAGGATGTCATCAAATACACATCATCTAACCAACCGCTCCTGCCGGATTATACTTTCGTTCCTTTGGTAGTATATTCTGTTACTTTTTGCGGGTTTGGATTCATCCCCACCTGCCTCATCAACACTTTCTCCTTTCTTTTCCACCCCCTCCCCGTTCGTATCGCTGAGTAGCCGGCCAGACTCCATGCTTTTCTGCGACAATAAACACTTCTCTCTCTTTGCGGGAGCCTTGCTGAGTGAGTGTCGCTTTCTAAGCAAGACTCCCGCATTTACGGCTTTCTTTCTTCCTGTAATCCCTATAATCGTGCCTTGAGATGATATAGCCTTTCCATATCGGTCCATGTAGCGCCCCATTCCGGCCGCACATTCTCCAACCTTAACTCTTATGAATATCTCATTTCTTGTCTACTGCAGCATTCTACTAAAATTTTAGCGTTACATGCGCTCTCACTTAGGTGACAAACTACTCTTCCGCACAGTGGTACATGCACGGAACCGTCGGCATGTCATCACTTTGCTATCGACCCGTTGCATGGTACAGCTAATAGTAAGGCCTAAGGGCTTAGACACTGATAAGTCACCCACCCTTGCCTGGTTAAATTACAAAGATCTGCCCACAAACGCCTTGTTCAATTTCGCTTCTTAATGAGGACAATTTAAACTGCGTCTTAAAGGGTCTCCTTTTCTTAAGTAAATAAAAGCTGTTAAATTTCGCCGTGGGAATTTCTCGAACGGGGATGTCACCGGACCCAATGTCTCCACAAGTGGTCTTTGTTTCTTCAAGGCAGCCTTCTTTGTATTTCAAAGACGACGGGTGCTTTAGGACGTCCAACGAGCAAGCACGCCATGTACTCGTTGGAACGTACTACGTTCAATAAGAATGACACAGAGGCAACACGTTTCCGCAGTCGCGATATAGAGTTTATTAGTAATAAATAATAGGAATATAGACATATACAATTTCAAGTTTTTCGTCTCAATGGTCGTATGTACAATGCGGGAAAAGTGGAAGCACTTGCCAACTCAAAAACAGAAACAAATGCGTTCTCCAGGGAACCACAACAAACAAAAATCACGTGTTATTTTTTTTTCTCCCTTATTTTTTTTCTATTTTGTCACTTTTTTTTTTCGCGGGACAAGTGGCCACACAGGTCGTCGTACGGTGCTCCTTCCCTTCCCGCCCTCGTGCTTCTTTTTTTTTGTACCCCCGCGAGAGTGATGCTCGCCGGGACACAGACACACGCGCAGACACACTGGAAAAGCCACTCACACGCTTAGCAGCTGTGCTAAGAGGGGACCCCGGACATGCGGCGAAACGCAACGGTCTCGACTGAACTAAGCAAATGAAATCAGAAAAAAAAGGTAACCTTCTTTCTTTCTTCTTTTTTTGTGTGAGACATAAAACGAGGAGGAACGACGACAGCTTTGCTTTTTTGTCCACTCTTCTACCGGGATCGATTGAGACGTGGGCCGTCGGCAGCGCGTGCCGACGGAGGCTTGCTTGCCCGCGAGGACTTCTCGTGGTTGAAACCCCCGAAGCGCCACAAGAACCGCGAGAACGGGGAAGGAGGTGTGAGAGCGTGTGTGTTTGTGAGAAATAGAGATCGGCTAGATAGACATACGGGGCGCAGGTTCGAGAGATGTCGGGGAATCGCGGGAGGCATGCGTGCCCGATTGCAAGACGAGTGCGCGGGTTCCTTTATATAACGAGATACAGGCTACAACAACGTTCGCCAGCTTAGCAGTTTTTTTTTTTTTCTTAGTCTTTACAGAAGTCGCGGGCTCGGACCGGAAGCCGAGTGCGCGTGACGACGCAGGGCCGCAGCCAAGTGCGACGTGGCGACCGCCCCCAATGCGCACGCCACTTCCAGGGATGGGGGATTCCTCCGCGCCACGCAGCGTCATCGGCATGATATGCAACATCATTTCGGCGCGCAGCTAAAGGGCTCATTCCGGGGCACCAGCGGGGCGCGTTCAGTGCCTCGCCAAAGTGGCGCGCCACGGTCGGCAGAATCGCACCGCGGAGTCAACGCGATTGCGACCAGCGCGAAGAGGGCGTCAGACAAGTGCTTCTATAAATTACGCGGCACCCGCCAACAAAGGTGGCGCCTCCGAAGTTGTCGCAAAGAAACCCAGGAATAGCGGCCCTGCTAATGCGCGCGCGCACCAGGAGCGCGCAGAATGCGGCAAGCCCCAGCGGCGAAATTTCCTTATTATCTGCGTAAACGTATCTGGCGAAGGGGGCCTCTTGCCGTTTGCGGCGCAGAACTCGCGCCAGGTCTGTGCGCAAATCTACGTGCCGGATACATAATAGAAAAGATGCCGTCCTGCCGACGAGCAGCTCGGCTGCGGTCTCCTGGACGAGTTTTCACCTACCAAAACTGACACCCCAAGTGAAAATACATGGCTGCACAGCACCATTCCCGGAATCTTGCACGCGACAGCAGCTCTCACCGGTTATTGCGTCGTTTCAATCTCGCCGGCTCGGCTTCTCGCGTGCCGCATTGCAGTTTTCAAATTACGATCTCGGCCCTTATTCCCTCTATCCTGTTTTTTTTTTATCCTGGCAGGACCTAGATGACGGCCTTCTGTGCGCGCGCACCTCGCGGTCCCCGCAGAGCAATCGGCCCAGTGCTTAGGCGCAGCCAGCGAAGCAAACAGCTGTTTCTCTTTATTGTTCGTGCCCCCCGTGAATGACCCGCAAGCGGCGAAACAGGCAACAAAGCAGGCTCGCTGATCCTCTGCAGCGACGGCTCCTGCTGGCGTGTGGCGAAGTTTAGCGGCGACAGTGAAAGACGAACAGAAAGAGCTGCAAGAGAAGAAAAGGCCGCCCTCTTGGTGCGAGCTGGGCGGCCGAGATTCTCGCGGTCTTGCCGAGTGATAATGTGTTCAGACTGCGAACAGGCCTATCTCGACGTGCGCATCTTTGGTTGTTCAGACGGCTGTGGAACAGCAACCAGTCGCAGAGGGCCGGCTTTTGCCATCTGTGAGCAACCAACTGAAGCCGTCCTAATGAAGATATTTGCAAACGCTTTGCGTTCTCAATACAAACGTGAGCATCAGCGTGCATGAGGACAAAAGCGACTGCCTGAAACTGACGATCCATGCGTAATTCATTCTTGGTAATCACACTCAACTATAGTACAATATATGCATGTAGGACTTGAGACCCCACGAAGAAAAAAAGAAAATGTCGTTTTTATGTACACGTATAAAGGCATTTCCCAGCACAGTTCTCCGTGCAAGCACTACAACATCGACACATCGCTAACTCGCGCTGTTCTTTTGAAGAACTCAAGAAACAAACACAGCATCACAAGGTTTGATATGGAACACCGAGGTGCACTGCAGAAGGTATGTGGTCACAAACAAGGGCTGTCGCTCGGAATAGTTGCAGAACTGTTTCTTGCGGTCACTACTCTTGTGAAACAGTAGACAAGACGCGCAACATAGAGAACAACCTCTGAGCTACCACTGTCCCGTCCTTCTACCATTCTTTTCCGAACACACGGACAGGACGCGGTGTTTTGGGAAAGAACCTGCGGAGCCTTCCAACTCTTCCATCGCCCGTGCTTCAAATGCCTTATTGCAAACACTGAAAATTTTCCGCTTCCCATCGATATGTAATCAATGACAAGAGTGAGCTAAAAAAATAAACGCAAAAGAAACTGATCAAAAGAAGACGAAAGGGCATACATCACGTTCATAAATTAAGGAATGTTGGTTCTGGCGCGCACATTAAGGTAGCCAGCCAATGCCTTCCAGCCGCCACCTCGTGACTGCTACCGGCGCGTGGAATTCTCTTTTGCTTGAGCATTGCCACTCTGTGGATTGCCAGGCGACTAACGTCCCCAGCCTGAACACTTGGTTGCGGGCAGCCGCATTAAGGTCAGTTAAGTAACGGTCGCCCAGATCTTTAAGTGAAGACCCGATCGCCGGAGGCGGCGTAGTTGGGGCATAGGCTGGCCATACTCACACAAATCACTCAAAGAGTCTTCAGTCCGCAGACTGTCATCATCACAAACGGGGTTCGAAGAACGAGGTGTCGAAAGAATGAGAATCACATAGAAAGATTGCTCCGCGTCCCAGCTTGGCGAGCCACACAACTGTCCGGCCGAGTCCCTGGGGGTCACACGTACTTACTGGACAACTGCTTGGCCAGTTCCGTGTACTTAAGAAACTTGGAGTGCGGGCTCTCGTCGGCAGGAGCCGCTGGCGAGCTGGCCGGCGGCGAGGCGGCTGGCGATCCACTAGCCGGGCCGTGGCTGCCGGCGGCGCCCTGCGACGCCTCCTTGGGCGCCGTCTCCTTGGTCTTCCAGGTAGGCGAATCACCCGGCGCCACCGTCGAGCCATCCTTGATGAAGTGCATCTTGGAGAGGTGGTGCCGGTAGGCGCCCTTAGACACGAAGTGCGTGTCGCAGAAGGCGCATTTCATGAGCGAGTCCGAGGTGGCTGCGTCGCTGCAGGCCCAGCTGAAAGCCAGGATAGAGCCAGGGCTTGCCGCCTGCGGCGCATTGGCGCGCGACAGGTGCGCGTCTGTCTTGTCCAGCAGTTTCTGCAGCTCCTTGAGCGGATGGTCCGAGACCGCGTCGCCTTCACCGTTGTGTTGGCCACGCCTGGAGCGCGACGAGGTTGCGGCTCGCGGGCTCTGCTTGGCCTTGGGAGATACAGTCTTCATCTCGGCCAGCGGCGTGTCGCAAGACGAGGACGACGACAGATCGTCCGTGTCCGGCCCACCACGCTCAGACGACCTCCGGGAAGGCAAGCCGTCAGCGATTACCAGGTCGTCTGCGCCCGGCGAGCTGGCTCTCGTCGACACGGACTCCGCGGGGGACCGAGGTTGGCTGAGGTGCTCCGGGTCGAGCACGGGCGGCTCCGCGTCCTTGTCAGGCGAAGACACGCCGCTGCGAGGCGAAGCGTGGTTGGCCGGCGTCTCTTCGGAGGGGCACGGCGACGCGAGGCCTCCCGTCAGCCGTGGCGAGTGGCCAGCTGACTTGATGGCACCGTAACGAGGCGAGCCCGCGGGATGCCATGGAGGGTAGACTTCCTCGTCGATGCCGAGTCGCTGCAGTATCCCAGCCGATGTAGGTCCTCCGCGCTTGCCTTTGCTGTCGAAACTCTTCTCGATGAGCCTTTCGATTGCGTTGAGGACCGACGTTGAAGACGATGACGTAGAATTGGGCCTCTTCTCCGACTCGGCGGAGGCCGCACGATCGGGCTCGGCAGACTGCGGACGCGGCGATTCCAGCGGCGGTGGTGGAGGCGGAGTCGTATCGTCCTCGGCGCTTTTGCGCGACTCGTTGGAAGAGCAGGGCTCGGGTCGAGCCTGCTGTTGCAACGCGGTCTTGAGCAACTGCTGCGAGCGGCTGCAGCTTTTGATGTGCTGGACAAAGTCTTTGGCGTCCACCTTCTCGGCGCACTCTTCGCAGGCAATCTTGCCATCGGACTCAGCAGCGCCAAGCGGACTCGGCGACGTCTGGTTGCTTGGTGCTCCAGAACGTGCCGTCATCTCCATACGTTCCAATTCAAGTAGCTTGCGAACAGGCAGCGACTTCTTGCGCCGCTCACGCGTCTGTCGGCGCCGCCCCCCACCTTCAGTGATGGAGCGAAGAATATGTTCCTTGTAGTGAGAGTTCTTGACCATGTGGTAACTGAGTTCTTTCAACGAGCCGAACGCCTGGTCGCAGACCTTACACGTGAGTACCGCGTTGACTTGCGACTGATTAGCGAGCTTGTCCTCCGGAGTCCGCCATGAAATTATCTGTTCCTGGCTGATTATGTTTGTGTAGTGCTGCGTGACCCTCATGTGCGTTGTCATGTCGGCAAGCGACTTGAACGACTGTCCGCACCACATGCACTTGAGGATCTGCCTTGTTTGCTCAGCACCTTTTCCCAGCCAGACATCTTGGCCGCGAACCAGTTTTCGGGGAAGGGGCACGCCGTCTTTCGTGGTTGCTCCAGAGGCACCCGGTGGCGTAGCCGTAAGCTTTGGCGGGGGAGGAGTGGTGTGGCCGGTCGAAACGGGAGGTGGCGGCGGTGCGGCTGCATGCATTCCAGCCATGCCACAGCGCGGAGACTGTTTCATATGCAGCGTCATGTCTGCCAGAGATTGAAACGATTCCTTGCACCAGACGCATGTGAAAACATCCTTCGTCTGCTCACCACTCCGACTGATCCACTGACTTTGCCACGGGTTCTGCCTGTTCGATGCTGGCCGGAACGCATCTCCCTTACTAGACGTCTTTTCAGGAAAAGCAACTTTCATTGCGGAGCCCGTTGGATGGCCTAGTTCGGACGAAGTGCTTCGTTCTCGTTTCACCTTGCCGTTCCAAGAGTGGTGCTGGTGATGTGGCTCGGAGCCAATCGCCCTGGCGGCCATGCTCACTGGTGCCGGAGCTGACGGTATTCGAGCCCCAAGCCAGGGTCCTCCAGGAGTCGGTTCTAGCCGTCCCAGTTTTGCAGGCTTGTGATCGTGCGGCACCACTCGTGCTCTTCGCCGGGACACCGACAAGTCTAGCGGCGAATCGGTGGCCCCATTAGAAGATGGGCCTTCTGTGATCGGCATGTCTTCATCTCCCGACTCAGCAACATCACTTCCCGATGGTTTTTTGAGACTAAAGTCGAGTGGGGCGTCCTCTTCGCCACCGAGCTCTTCATTCATGTCATCACCTTCTTCCTCTTCTTCCTCCTTCTTGACGACGACCATGGGCGCAAGGACCGGGGGCGCTTCATCACGAGCAGGAGTGCTGGTCTTGCGCGGCGGCACCTCTCGGTCATCTGGTTCTTCTTTGAGCACCGCCGGCTCAACTGCCACCTCTTCATCTTGCATGGGCGAGGAGGGAGCCTTGGGCGTCGCCGCCGAAGCACGCTCGCTGTCCACCGGCGAAGACCGCGGCTCCGCAGGAGGCGTCTCGGCCGGCAGTGGTGGCGAAGTGCTTCGCGTGTCGCTTGTCACCGAGCCGTCCTCCTTGGCCTCGTCGGCAGGAGCGTCTGCCTTCGCCTCGCCTTCCTCCCCTGCGGATGCGTAAAATAAAGAAAAGAGAAAGCGGAGTCAGACTACATGCCACTGGGGAACATTCGCAAGAGCACGCAGCTCCACAGCTATAGAAAAGATGCATCGGCGATAATGAGGCAGGGATATTAATGGAACGAAATATTAGTTATCATGCGTGATGGGCCTCTCGTGTTATTATGTACTTTTGTTATGCCAAAAAGAGGTCTTTCGAATGCTAAAATATGAACATAAATGCACAAAGCACGACCGCCTGTTTCGTATGCTCTACTTTATATTTCTCCGCCCACTAAAATCACTCTACCATGTGAATAGAACATACTACACGCATCGAAAGCACACTTTTATTATTACTACATTGTTTGTACGATGTTGGCGCGAGCAGCCAAAGCGACGAAAAAAACACCACATGGCACGTAAAGATCGTTGACAGCCAGATACTACACAACTCCTTTTAGTCATTGTTATTGTTGCCCTTGCAGATCTGCCGGAAAATCAATCTCCACGTAAAGTTTAGGAACACGCGCTTTGTGCAGAATGATGTAATATAATATTGTATAATATAACATATTATCTGGGGTTTGACGTTCCAAAACCTCGATATGAAAAGAAACGCCGTAGTGGAGGGCTCCAAAATTTTCGACTAACTGGTTTAATTCAACGTGCGCTGACATCCGCAGTACACGGGCCACGAGCATTCCACCTCCATTGATAAGCAACCGCCGCAGCCGGGATCGAACCCCAGACCTTCGGTTCAGCAGCCGAGCACAGTAACCAATGATAGACCACGGCGGACAGCATGGCGCCGAAATGACAAGTGCTTCCCAGTGCTTGGCCCCGACGCGCACTATCTCGCTCGATACGCGTCAGACAGTAAAATCAGGCACCGACTCTCTTTCTGTAAATACATACGGTCACTGTGTTAGGCTACCGCGAGGCGGACGGTTACTCGTGCCACTTAACAACTGCTACACCAACGGCAGTGAAAGGAAAACATCATGGAGTCCTCTTTTGCGTTCGGGTCGACGTCAACTGTAAGCCGTACTTAGATCTCTCCGCATAAAAAATAAAGAATCAAAACTGTCTCTCCCGCCAACGCGACGAGCGTGCCGAGCAGGCGCGCGCTGGCGTCGTTCTTCGCTCCTGTCTCCGTCAAGTATCAGCCGACGCAGAGGCTGCCATGATAGATGGCCCGCGCTTGCGGAAGCCAGGTGCTGCTGTTGGCTGCGAGCGAGTGTGGCTGTTGTTCACCGCCGAACGTACCTGCTCCGCCGTCGACCGTTCTGCGCCTCGCGAGGACGCCCATGATGTATGCCACACGCGCCGATGACGCGTCTGGCTTCGCAGTCAAAGCGGCACACCAGGTAGAGCTGATGTGAAACTTTAACCGATTATTGCGCTGCTAATAGTGAACACGTCACGCAATTCGCCTCCCCGTCCTATCTTCACTGAAGACGTCACACTGACGTTCTCGCGTGCCTTCTGACAGCTTCGCGCCAACTGTTCTCGGCGCCCAAAGACCTATTGCAAAACTTCAGTGCGTAGAATGAACCGCCGCCAACTTCTGCACAACAGTTCAATCAGTTCGCCGCAGAAATGGTGATACAGAGCATTTCACGAAAACACCTGACGCTACCCAAACAAAATGTCACGGACCAACCACAAATTAAGAGGCCAATGCATCGGCTTTGAAGGCATAAAGCACAAAAGCAAGGAACTCAAGCTGGCTACCCTAACCTTCTTTCACGCATTATTTAAAATGCAAGAGCATCGCGTTGTTATACCCCACCTTGCTTATCTCGCGATAGCATAGAAAACGAGCGCTGGCCTATCACGACGCTTTCTGCCATTGTCGTTCGACAGTAAAACTAATCTTTGATCACCCGGGTTTTCAATTATGTTCCCTGCTACTGTTGAGCAGCACGAGTTTTCATTACTATTCCGAATGATCACCATCTTATGAATAAACACACCGGTTTGTTGGTTGCGTAGTCTCTATACGCGCGATAACTGGCATCCAAGGGTGTTATCAGAGTAACATTAAGAACTTGATTGACTTAAGTTCATGGGATTAGAGTCATCAGAACCGCGATGCGATTATAAAGCTCATGGTTTTCTTGTTGCGCTGCGTATGACGAGAAGAGGACGATTCAGAGACCACAGGACAGCTAGAGCGCAAAGTCACAATCGCACTGCTAATCGCTCTGCTAAAGATTGCTAGGCACAACGGAGTTCGGGTTTAAGGACTAATTTAGATTCCCTGGGGTTACCTAGTGTACACAGTACACGAAGGTTATTGCATTTAGCACCTGTAGAAATGTGGTCGCCATGGACGGTGCTGAATCTGCGACCTCCAGCTGAGCCACACATGCCATGGCCACAGGGCTATCACGCCGTATAGAGCTCACTTAAATGTCAGTGTACAATGAAATTATTGAACCAACCATTTCACAAGCTCCCGTTTTTGTCTGTGCGCATTTAGGTGACATTTTTTAAAGGTTCCATTTTAATTTCACCCCTGACATGGGGCATGCAGTGATCGGAGTTTTACACCAACAAGACTAAAAAATTTTACCCGTTGAACTGAATGTTTCTCATCAATTTCTGCACTTATCCCTAACAGCATAGCATTCTCTAGTTAACTTTTCTTCCCCTTTTTCTTCCCCCAGTGTTAGGTAGCCGACCGGGCTGAGCCCCGGTGAACCTCCCCACCTTTCTGTTATCATCTCTATCCTATCACCTATCACTCTATAGCTAACGTTTGTCTTTTACTTATTATTCGTTCTCTTTGAACTGTCCGAAAACTGCTCTGGCAATAGCTCGTGAAGGCCGAAATATACAGGGCCTGTGAAACGACGCGTATTCGCCAACAGCAACAGCACTTTCATATATATATATATATATATATATATATATATATATATATGTGTGTGTGTGTGTGTGTGTGTGTGTGTGTGTGTTGTGTGTGTGTGTGTGTGTGTGTGTGTGTGTGTGTGTTTGTGTGCGTGTGTGAAAGTGAAGGATTTCGTGTCCCTATAAGGGTGTTAGTATACTCGGCGTTTATGGATGAGCGAGTTCATGCAGAAATCAAGCTAAAGGCACACTCATAAATCGTTACTGTGCTTTGAACACGTGTTAAACACCGTTTATCCTCCTTTGCTGCGTCCATTACGAGAGATACGATTTCACATTAGAGCGTCACTTTCTATGGGCTAAATACGGTCACAAAGGTGTTCACAAATGACTATCAATAGAACGATAGATTTTCTTTTTTCTTTCGCGCCCTAGCACTACGTGTTCCTATAGAACGTGGATTTCAGCGTCTTTCCTCTTAAAACGATCACCTTCCGAGAACGCTAGGCTATAGGAATGTAGGCGTAAGCGATCTTCCTGCCATCCATTTGAGTATCGAGTGTAACCAACACGTGCACACTTCGAGAAGCTGTCAGATCTAACGCGGTACGAGCAACGCGGCATGGAGAAAAAGAAATGAATAAAGCTATTCATTATATTGTAGAACATCATGACGTGTTGGCCTGGAAAACAGACGATGACTCAGTGGGAGTCGAAGACGTTAGCTACCATTATACAGCCTACGCGGGAACTTCGCGACCTGTACTCCCTGTATTATACGTAATGAGGAAGCCCGAGAACGTACACGCAAGCACGACAAGCGAACGAAAGCAGTCAGTCAGACACACAACGAACATCGAACAGTAATAGGTCGAGTTAATTATTGTCGTCTCGCAAGCTAGATTTTAACGTGATAAGGCTATATTTCGAGTAACACGTAGTAGCTAGACAGTTTTCGGAAGACGGTATTTATATTTAAACAACGAATAGCGTATCTAAGTGAAGAGCATAAAGAGAAACGAAACTCGTCAGCGTTAGGGTTTATTCTTTTAACAACGCAATCGCTAATCTCCCATTAATGGGCTGCGCAAGTGGTCCACTGTTAACTCTATGAGCTTAGACTTTGGCTCTGCTAAGAGTTAAAACGTAATCTATCCGATCTCTAGCACGAGTGTACAATTATATTGATCGAAAGGGTGAGGGATAAGGGAGGCTAAGCTACGTAGCTTCCCCGGCTGTGATCAAGATATGGCAATGAGCGTTCAGATGCCGAAAAAAATCCAAGACGTCACGTCTAGAGTGGTGCGTCAAGCTCAAGGCGACGTCGACCACCGGCACTTCTTTCTTTGCGCTTTCTCTCGCTTACCAATGCTCTTTTCAGGGTAAGACCACTTTTGTTCATATTCTAATAAGTACCGTTACCCACATAGCTCGTACATTTCCATCTCTTCAGTGTCGCCCTCAATTTATTTAACACGATGGCTGCGAAAGTGCTTGGGGCCCATGTACTTGGGTATAGGTGCACGTTAAAGAACCCCAGGTGGTCGAAGTTTCCGGAAACTTTCACTACAGCGTCTCTCATAATCATATCGTAGTTTTTGCACGGCAAACCCTACCAGTTTATATATTAATCAATTGAACACGAGCCGAAATCTCACTACGTAAGCGGTTTCCTATTGCATTTATGAAGCGATATGCATCAACACACTAAAGAGCAAAACCATATATAGTAATCGAGTCCCAGCCAAGATTCTACATCATCCGTTTTTTTTTCTTGCCATCCACTGGTCTTCCTAAGGTCCAGCTCCGGCTAGTTGAAAGGGCTCGGGCGTCGGCGCCTAGCCATGGCTACTGGAATGAGGAAGTCACCCACCTATGGGCGAACAGAACGCGCACCTGGTAACAATCGAAGTTTATTTCTCTCTCTCTCTCTCTCTCTTGCCATCACTTTCATAATGTTTTCTCTTTCGGTATCGCGCCCTTCCAGTGCTCAAAGCTTGATCCACTTTTCCGCAACATCTCTCCTTTCAGTCTAGTGTAGTGTACTCGCGGATAATTGTTCAATGCCATCGTGCACGCACTCGATAGGCTCCCGCTGTATTCTCAATTAAAAAAAAACAGCTTACGTATTTTTTTCAACAGCGCGAAC